ATTTCTCCTATTGAAGGACTGCACACATTCACGAGGGGAAAAAAAAAACAACGCCAGGCCTGCGCGTAAGGCGCAGCACAGTCACAGCGAAAGCTAGAAGAGCGGCCTTTCAGAGCCTTTTCTAAACACTCATTGGGCAACTGCTGCAAGCACACTTGCTTGATACCCACTACGGCATTATTAATAAATTTTTTTGGTATACTGCACGCTATTTTTCGTCATTTTTCTGAGAAGTGTGGTATCCACTAAACACTTGCGAGGAATTTTGTGCCAAGTGTTCATGCAGTGGTTGACGACGCCGAGTGAACTATGCGAGATGTGGGTATGCGCCACTCTTAATACCTGAACAAAAACAAGCTTTTGTGATGGGTTCTAGCATTGGACGACCCACTCGTTACTCTATGCGCTGTGTGCGGCGACGGCTTGTTCTTTCGCTGTTCTAAAACACTTTATAAGTCGTATTAACGCGATTGCTTTCCCGACATGAAGCCTGCCCAAGGCAAGTTTGCCAACAACCAAGCACAAAGGAAAAACAAACAAACCCGCAGTGGCTCAGTGATATAATACTGGGCTGGCACCCAGCGGACCCGGGTTGGAGCCCCACTGTTTCATTGGCGCTAGTTTTTTTTTTCTAATTTTGTGCGATGTGGTTACGGACACCGGCGGCGGACAACTACGGTGGCGCGTTAACCGAGTCGTGATCTCTTAACAGCTTTCACTGTCATACGCCACCTCAGTCATTCGGTGTTTAAATAGAACTCGAGGTAACGAGTAGGGCTTGTGATTGGCAGGACATCGTTCTAAGAAAGGGTGAAGAATGAGCTCGATTGCTGCATAGAATAACCCTGATGTTGTGGTGCAGCGCACGAAACCATGATTTTGATGCAGTGCCCGTGCCCGCTTCCTGAGCGAGGCACTGTCAACTCGACGAACGGCTGCTAATGACGCACGCATTCAGCATGAATCCGCAGTTTTTTTTTAAAGGCGAAAGCCTTAGATGCCTAATCGAAGGTCAAAGTGAGCCGTCGGCGAAGTCAACGCGAATGATTGAAAAGAATAATCACGGGGTGACGTCACCGCATTTCATCACACGCCAAAGATCGCGAACCTTTGGTACGTAAACGTAACATCACAACGACGTCATTGTGACGTCAGATAACGTTCCGTCACGTGATTACGTCATCAGACTCATCACACAACGTCGTCGCTCGCTCAAAGGTCAGCCGATCACTAGGCCATACAAAACAAGGTAAACTCTAGGTGCAGAAAGCTATACGTCTCCGACGGAGGCCATGCAAAACCACATTACGTGCAGAGCGCTTTCGGAGGAGAGTGAGGGAAGAAGAGTACATCGACTGAGAAGTGAAAGAAGGGGCGGCTTTGACTTTGGACCGATGCATATACTGCGTGATCACCAACTGGCCCAATCGTCCACATTGATTGACTCTGTAGTTGTCTTAGTCGATATGCTCGTAGCAATACAGCAAGTATAGATTGCATCACATATTTGTTTCGTCGCAAATGGAAGAAAATACAAGCGGAAACCGAGAACGTTTCGTTGGAAAAACACACCAAAGCTCCAGATTACACAAATATGTTCCAACAATACTCTACATTGAGATTCACTGCGAATCAGTCGGTGATCACGTGAGCATGCATTTTCGGCGTATGACGAGGCATGCTGAGACATAGGCTAACGATAACTGTGATTAGGCATAAACATTTAAACAAGTGATTCACGCGCCGAAATAGCCTGATAAATTGAGCTAATGATTTTAAAGTCTGGTCCCAGTGCGGGCGACCAAGACACGAGCTTGTCTGGTGATGCTAGCCCGTCGTGAATCGCCGGAAGTGATTGCTTTATTTGAGCATAACTGATAGACGGTTTGCCCTCGCGGGAAGTCCACGTATCTGGTTGTTCCGCCTCACCCTCGCATGTGTTGATAGTGTAGCGAGGCGTTGATCAGCTGCGTGTCTCGCGGAAAGACAATCGACAGTCGTTGAACTCCCTTCCTGATTGCCGCGGGACCTTGGGAAGCCCGTCAACACGACGACTTCGAAGCAGGAGAGCGTTAACTGCTCTTCGGCAGACACTGTGAACCATTGTTTTTCTTTCCGTGCCAGATTCAGCGATATTAATTGATATGTGGAGTTTAACGTCCCAAAACCACCATATGATTATGAGAGACGCCGTATATAGTGGAGGGCTCCGGAAATTTTGACCACCTGGGGTTCTTTAACGTGCACCCAAATCTGAGCACACGGGCATACAGCATTTTCGCCTCCATTGAAAATGCAGCCACCGCAGCCGGGATTCAATCCCGCGACCTGCGGGTCGGCAGCCGAGTACCTTAGCCACTAGACCACCGCGGCGGGGCGCCACACTCGGCGGTAACTTTGCGTGTTGTGGAATGACTGGTTCCCCAGACGTGAAGACATCCGTTTATTGGCAACCTTAAAGGCGAACTTGCTGCATCACCCTCGTGCGCGTGCGTTCGTGCCCTCAGAGTCGCCTCACTTTCCTCATTTTCGATATAGAGTTACTGTGTATGCTACCTTTAGGTATCACCCCCCGTGAGCACATGCGGTAATACTTCAATATACTCTGGCGCGCTACAAGTGGCTCCGTCCGGAGCAACAGTGCTCCGTACCCAGCATTTTTTTTCAGGGGGTGTTAATGTATAGAACGGCTAGCTCTGTCAAAAGGGGGGGGGGGGGGGCGATGTGAAGTCATGTAAATACCTTATCATCCAAAAATTCAAACACTGAAAAAATATGGAGGCTGTCCGAACCTCCTCAATTCCCTCCTGGTTGCAACCCTGCTTTCATAGATGCTCTGAGCTTGTAATGAATTCACACAAATATCCGTAAGAAAATCCTTGTGTTCTGTGTGATACTTTCATTTTCGGGCGCAAAGGTTGAAATGCTAATTGCCGGAACTTATAGAAAACAGCATAACCACTGATCATTAAGGGTAAGCGCCTGGATTTCAAGAGGATTGGCAGACGCGTGAGAGGGAAACAGAAAATTAGGTCGGAAGATAAGATTAAGATGTTTGCAGGTACAACATAACATCAGAAAGCGCAAGACCGGGTTGCTTGGCGGAAAAAAAAATGCGCGAGTGCATTAACCACCGCTTTATTGTGAGACGTGAAAATGTTTTGACGAACAGTGACGAAAAAAAAAAATGTTTGCCTGGCGGATTTCGAGTATGTTGCTCACTGCACAAAGTCAATGACGTGCAATCGCTTGTACGCAAAGCAGCCATACGCTCGCGCAGCAAATGTTATACACAAGCACACGCTCTCAGTATACTACGCAGGTAGCGGGATCGAATCCCGCCTGCGGAGGCCACATTTTCGATGGAGGCGAAAATGCTGCAGGCCCGTTGTACCTAAAGTGCCCGTTAGAGAACCCCAGGTGGTCGAAATTTCCGGAGCCCTCCACTACGGCGTCTCTCATAATCATATGGTGGTTTTGAAACGTTAAGCCTCACATAGTAGTCTGCGTATAGTCTGTTTCACTGCGCTTCATTTTGATCGGTCCAACACGCTATTGCATTTCTTTTACATGTTTTAAACTTACCTATTCATGTGGAATACATACGACTACTTCCGTACTTGGACATATTTTCGCTGTTGTTGACGTACTACATTGTTCTTACTGACTTGTTAACCCAATTTGTTGTTACTTTGTATCGACCCCCCTTACACAGTGCCTCTGGGAGGCCTGTAAGGTACTTGTAAATAAAATAAATAAATAAAGATAAAACAAAATATCAATCAAATCAGCTCCCAGTATACTGATTGCGTAGTATCACGCTGAAGCCAGCATCGCACGTGACAGCTTGAGTGTGTCGCTCGTGCTGGTATTGCTTTTCGCGAATGACGAAGTGCCCCAGCACCTGTGCACGTATTGTGTTGGTTACCGCGGGTTATTTCTGCGAAATCTTTCATCCGATGGCCCCTTTGAAAACGAGAAGTCAAATCGATAAACTTGACACATGTGCCATAATGGAGGGCTTCCGAAATTTTGACCTGTTGTTATTGAACGAGCGCCTAATTATATATATCTCAGTACATGGGCCTCAAACATATCGCTCCCGCCGAAATGCGGCCGGTATCCAATTTCGAGACCTCATGGTCAGCAGATCGAACCCCACTGAACGACCACAATGGTTATTTACTCCGCATTAATTTTTGATCATCTGGAGTTCATTAATGTGTGCCCAAGTGACCACGTGGATGATTTGCGTTTCTTTGTCATGTAAGAGGGTAGTCGAACCCGGGCCCAGTCTATCTGAATAGTTCTAACGACGCCGAATGAATGAAAAAAAAAAAAAAACTACCGCACGATTCAGAGCTTAATCTGAACGTTATTACAGAAGCAACAGCTGTCATATTGGCGTCTCTCATAATCAAGTGGTGGTGTTGGGACGTTAAACCCCACATATCAATCAGTTTTCATATTATGCTATATTTTCGACCTAAATAAATTAGCGCCCGTGGAAGTTGGTTCCCTAGCCCGGTAAAAAGAAAAGCGGAAAAAAGTTTGAGGAAACAAGCATCTTATAGAATAACCATATAGATAGCTAAAATTTCCGATGTCATTCGCACTGGGTTAGAAATTCTGGAGTTGTCACAAGAGCAAAAGGTGCGTGCTAAGCATTAAGCCACGCATATTATTTTACTACGCACACAACAAAAATTTAAAATAGTACTGTGGCCTCTCATTTCTTTATCTTTTTTTCGGGCAAGTATGTCTTCTCTTGTCCGCGAGTCCTACAAACATACTGTCCTGTACTCGGCAGCCTAATTACAATGGCCGCTTCGGGTCAAGTTGACTGTGTCATGCCGAGCCGATACAGGCGTGCCAGATAGCGAAGGGGCATCGGCGGCCGTTCGCGATAGCGACCAGCCGCCGGTGAGGGCGGTGCTGCAGTCAACGGACGGACGCATGTGCGGAACAGTAGCGCTCACCCGGCCAGCCGAGCCTATAAAACGACCCCGCCCTCTCCGCGGAGCTGTCAGACCGGCTTTGAACTGTGATTCGATCCCACGGAAGTGCACATTACACGATACCGTACAGCTTCTTGCGTTCTTTTTTTCAACAAGGGATACACTCATACCAAAGGTGAGCGATACGTGTGCTTACGCGCTTCTTGATGAATACAGTTAGGAATTGTCATTGCTGCTGTGAAGATTGTGAAATTAAGAGCTGCGTCTGGCTGTGCTAACTAGAGTAGATACAGAGGTTTCATGAATTTCTAGTGCTCATGTAACAGTGAATAAGTCTCGCAGAATGAATGTTTTACATGCATTCTCCAGTCTTTCTGTGTCCGCTTGCTTTTCCATTTCCTCTTGACATTTGGAAAGGCATTCGTTTGCTTACCGGAAAGATTTCAACAGCCGGGACAGGGCACAGTATTCCATTAGACCACTGTTGTATGACGCTGCTCTCCTTTGCGCTTGCTCGGCATAAACTGAGCTGGTCTGCAGCAGAGTATACTGTTACCATACGTGACGGAGGGGACTCGCTTTTGTTTGTCCTCTCCCGCCAAAGTGTTTCGCAACAGCACTCGACCTAACTGTCGCTCCTTCTTCGGGCAGCAATGGCGACGGAAGCTATCACCGGTCCCGAAGCGATCGTGGAATCTCCTCCTGCCACGGAGAACCATGTGGTGCCCGAAACGAAGCCTGCGGCCGTCTCGCACGAGTCCGCCCCGGAGACGAAACCGGAGGAACCAGCCGTTAAGCCTGAAGAAACCGTCCCCGAGTCTTCCAGCACCACCGAGTCCGCGAAAGACTCCGAATCTTCCGGCAAGACCGAATCGCAGGAGACGGAGCCGCAGGTTCGTTACACCACGCTTCTTTCTCGCAACTAATGTTCTCGCTTCCCGTGTTTCACCGATTGATGTACTGTGCAACCTTTTATTCACCGGGCAATTTATTCTCAGCAATTCTGTTGCGTGTATGGTCGCTTATATAACTGTGAGCATGGGAGCGGGGTAGCAGTGCAAGTGAACAACCCCCCCCCCCCCCCCGGGTCACGGACACTGGAATGGAAGGGGGGGGGGGTGAAAAGCCTGTCCCATAATTCTACTTGATAGGGGAGGAGGGGGCTGAAACTTTCGCCCCCCTTCCCGCCCTTGAAGAGGCATCCTACGCACGCCTATGGTCACTTGAGTGCTTTCTACACTGCTGCTCGTGCATTGCCCGTTCTGGTTTCAAGGCTGTCCGTATCCATGATGCCAGGAATTGACAGTGGCAGCTCATTGCATCATGCCACCCTTCTATTTCACCTATTTTGCATTGCCGTAAGTTTTCGTTCAAAAGCGAATCACTGTTCCACGTCGTGTTCGTATTTCCAGAGCGACAAGCCAGAAAGTCAGCAGGCGGAACCCGCCGCGTCAGAGCCTCCAAAGTCTGACATCGCCGCCAGCCAGCCGTCGCCTGACGCGAATCCCACACCAGCCAGCACCGAAGTGAAGACTTCGACCGTTGAAGCCGTAGAACCAAGCAATCAACCCACAGAGCAGACAGAGGCTCCTGCCGTGGCACCGACAGACGAAAGCAAGGATTCCAGCACTGTACCAGCGGAAACAAGCAAGCCCGAAGCCGATGCCACGATGGAGAGCTCCAAGGCGGCGGCAACCGCTGACGAGGTCGCCGACAAGTTAAAGGACCTCAAAGTCAAGGACGACTCCGAACACAAGACTGCTGACGAGTCCAAGCCGTCGGAGACCAGTGAGAAACCCGCCGAGTCTGCAGAGGCTGCCGCGCAAGGCGACGCGCAGGCGACGGCGCCTGTAGAGAAGCCCGCCGCCGCAGTCGATGAAAAAGGAAAGAAGCGGCGTTGCGTCATAGCTTAGGTTAATATAGGTTACGTATTCGCTATTTATATGAACGTCCTTTTTACAAACTGTTCTTCAATAAACCTTTTTACACACAGCCGCACGTGCTCGCTTTTTACGCTCCCCACCCCCCCCCCTTGCTGCATTAATTCAGTATACACCATGATTTCAACATCTTTTTTTTTTTTTAACGGCAAGACACCCCTTAGGCAGTTTTCTGACATTGCAGGCTGGTATGTCAACATTGCTGCACCTTTGCAACTTTCGTCATCAGCGCAACCGTTATGAACTTCTCGGCAAGGCACGCTCAAATCTATTGCGATTTTTCACTCCATTCTCTCCAACAACTGACGGTGTCGTCGTTGCCGTTCAGAATGCTGAGCGATTCGGACCTCCAGCTCGCTGCTTTCAATGTTTAGGCGATGCGCCTTCCGCTTCGACAGTTTCGCGTGTACACCGACGTGGCCTACAATATACACATCCTGCGGCGCGCCCGCCCGCTAAATGTACTCGATTTTACCCGCCTTCAACGGGAGCCGTTGTGCGTGCATTTCTTATGCTGCCGCTATATCTTGTTGTTCTCATCTTGTCCATTGTTCGATACACAAGGGGGAGGGTGTATGCCTCTCGTTATCGCACACTGGCTGCATCGATTCGATTTTGCCTTCAGATGCCGCGACGTCTGGTCTAGGACGATATCTAGCTGTCCGCAAGCAAGTATAGTCTTTCCGAGACTGCTCGCAATTGTACACCCGTAATGGCGCTCGAATGGGGGGGGGGGGGCGCATAGTATATATAATTGACATAATTAAGGGGGGATGCTGCTACTCGGAGTCGAATCGGGGGGGGGGGGGGCTCCCTGGTCATTTAAAGGGGGGGGGCGCATAGTAATTGACATAATTGCGACGAACCTTCGCCCCCCTTTCTTGAGGTACAGTGCATATATAGTACACTGTACCTGAAGTGGGATCGCTGCGTACAACTGTTTCTTCGGTGGAGTTCTTACTGATCAGTGTGCGTCATGAATTTAAATGTATGACAGGGAAGACGATTACGGACTCGTACAAGTTTTTACAGAGGCTTGTCATTGTCGCGCAGTTGTTGTTGGGGCTGTGCTAACGCCTGAAAATGACAAATCTGCGATATGCGGCGCCGCGTTATACGTTGTGTCGAGTCACCTCCTTTTATTTCCTGGTGGGGTGGGGCTTGTTCTGAAAGAGAGGGCCGCATGCAGATAGCCACAGGCGCTGTCTAGTTAAGGAATGAAGTGAGGATAGTTGGTTCTAATTTATTTTCTGTGACATGCAGTCGATAGCGTGAAACATTTGAAATGGGGCAGAACAGAGCGCTATAGACTTCAACCTGCAAATTTTAATGCGATCACGCGAAGAAATGCATATCCTAAAAAAATGCACTGAAATATGTACTCACAAATTTGTGACATAAGGCCTATTAACACCCGCAGAAAACCGTTACAAATATATTTTCAATACACAACAGTGCTTTATCAGTGTGACACGCCACCTATAGTGGTTATTGACCACCGCGGCGATACTTCGATTCTTGGTCATCTGGGAAAAAATTCGCAGCAAAACTTCTTTCATAAGTACATTTTCCCATTGGTCAGCCGGCTTCAGCAACAGCGCCATTCTTTAACGAAAATTTTTAGCGTAAAAAGTTTGATATGGGCTCTGTGCACTGTCTGTCAAATTTATTTCAATATTTAAATAAGCAGCCCTCAGGCTGATGCTAAAAACCGAACCCTTCCGCAGGTTTGTGCCAGTTAGATCACAGCCTACGCGTTTTGGAGACAATGGGCGTTGTACGCTTCTCCTACGAATTACACCGGGGATATCTAGCTCACTTCAGCTATAGCGCGGCGCCATCACGAAATTTAGCCCACAATTCGAGCCGGGACCAAAGCGAAAATTACAACGGGAGGAGGTTACTTAACACTACTGCTATTTGAAAGAACGCATTTTCCATATCTCGTATATGGATCGTTTCTGCAGACAACTTGATTCCAGAATCGGGGATCATATCGATGCTGATTTCCAAGGCGAATCAAATCGGGGCACCGAGTGTGAAATATAGATGTTTTGTTTCGCTGTTGTGTTTTCATCACACGTGACCACGTGAAGTGCCTCGTGAAAGAAAAACAACAAAAAAATGCCAGAGACTAGTCCCTTCTCTGTAGCTTACCCGAACAAAGCATTATTAATCGCGACAGGCGAGAGAATAATGCGAGTATCGTTCAGCAAAGTCACAAGCATTTAATTTCTTGAGGAACCTCGGGCCGCAACCGAAACGTCCACGGGTCACGTGTTTGAGAACCCCGTACAGCACGGCGAATCATAGGCATTAAAATGTGTGTGTTGAGTGGGGGGACGATTTACCGTAGCCACCTAAAAAAAGAGGGGGGGGGGGGGGCAAAAAATCTGCCCCTTGCATTCACTTATAGGGCGACGGGCCACTGCAATGTACCCCTCAACCACCCTATGGGGAACCCATGCGCAAGCCTGTGCGAGGCTTCCTCGATTCGGTTGCATTTTCTGGACGTAGTTCACGAAAGTGTCGTGCCAGTGCTGCGCCAGTTACGCTATAGTGTTACTACAGCACGACACTATAGCTGCTTCGGTGTAGTGGTCTAATCGAGGGCAAAATCGTAGCAACGCCATATACCTTGCGCTACTTGCACGAGACGAGAGCTCGCGGGGAAGTTTGGGCTGAAGCGCTGGTGAACTCGTGCAGCACCATGGCCTCCGAAATTGCGGGCGCGCGGCCCGCCGCGCGCCTGCAATCTCGGAGGTTATGTCAGCACGATGTCAAATTGAGTGCAGAACTGCAGGTGGCGCAAGCTGCACTCGCCGAATCGAGCGCCAAAGTGCAGCACTCTTGAACTGGTGTAGAAAGTGCGAGACCAAATCGAGGAGGCCTATAACTTTCGCGTGCATGTAGTCGACGCGGTTCTGTAAAAGCTCCTTGGCGGGACTGTTTATCGTTATCCTGTGCGTCTTTTTAAAAAAAAAGCAAACCACGCTGATTACAGAGTGGGAAGTACCAGACGATAAAACCTACGAGGCCACCACGAGCTGCCTCGACCGACTACGTCTTCTGGGGAATCGTGATAGTCGAGGTTGAACGGGCGGATAGATCTATCCGCCCGGGTGCACGCGAAGTGTTTCTGCGAGAACTACTTTGACCAACATTTCAATGCAGTGTGTCCGTAAAAGTCACGGTGTACTTTTGAACGGTCACGGGAAAATCTGCGAAACAAGATAGAAGTGCTTCGTTGTACGTGCATACATTCACGCAACAATATTTACGTAGCACTTTGGTCAGGTGCTCGAACTCGGCAAGCCTGAGAACACACTGAAAATTCTTCTGTATCGTCCATATCTCGACAGTTGCGGGCAGACTCGCCGCTAGGTGGCAGGTTATGGTGGTGCGTCATGGACATGAAGAATGTCGATACAAAATGGAGGAAGCGAACCAGGAAATTAACTGGTAAGTACTTAGAAAACAGCAGGTGTCCAAACCAAAATGAACTATCGGTTAAGAAGAAAGTGAAGGAAACGGAGGCTGACATGCGGAGAATGGGCATGATTAAGAAGTCCGCACTAGAGATCTATCAAACTTTTAAGCAGGAAATTGCCAAGGAAAGGATCTATAATAATACTCGGGGTAGTTTTCTACTGTTTGAGGCCACGACGGGAGTACTGCGAACCAAGACATATCGGGCAAAATACGAAGGGGTAGACAAAGTATGCAGTGCGTGTGGAGAGGAAGAAGAAACTGCCGAACACTTGATAATGTTCTGTATAGGGCTTCACTCTATAGTTCAGGATGATGGCGCAGAGTTTTTCAAAGCACTGGGGTTTAGGGACAGGGAGGGCAAAATAGACTTTAATCGGGTAGAATTAACTAGAAGGAGGTTATCTGATTGATGGCTAAAGTCAAGGCACGAGTGAAAATTAAATCCTTCACTGCAAAGTACGAATACTCAACCTCACTATTTAAAGGAAAAAAAAAAGGATAAATCTAATGGTTAGTTCACTAAGTATTACGGCTAGGTGGCGCTAGCCACCGCCCGATCTAAATGGTACAGCCATATCCATCCATCCATCACACGCGTGCGTGCACACACCTTACCATAAAACTGTTTTTTTTTTTTCGTCGAGAAATGCCCATTTCTATCATGCTTTGTTGTTTCTATGATGTTGTACTGTGACCGGTCAAAATGCAACATGATTTTACCGGTGTCTTCAAAATCTGCGTATGAGTGACATACAACTCAAACATCGCTCATGCACCATCTGGATGGGCAACGACAAGAATAGTAACGGGGGATGTGCGATTACAAGCACGGGTGGGGCCATGATAAGGGGGGGGGAGGGGGCAGTCGCGGAGTACACTTTTCATTTCCAACCCAAAGAACTACTTCCTCCACCCCCTTCGGAGAACGTTGCAAGTGCCTGCGCGGAACTTTTTTTTTTTTTCTCGCGATGGCCATTAGCCGCCGCGTTTCGCGGTCCTACGATGGTTTGTTTGTACTCGTGGCAGACCATTTGTGCTGTTTCGTAATTATGAGACCCTAGCGGAAGTCAGTCTTATATAAGGTTGCTTTCCTTAGTAACTCTGTTTTGCCCAAGGGCTACCTTGAACACTGTACTTTCCTTACGCAGTAAAAGCTCGTTAATTCTAACTCTGTTAATTCGAATTGACACTCGGGTCCCAGCACCGACCTGTGTATTCCTGTGGGAAAAACGCCTGATAATTTGAACGCGTACGTATCCACAACGGTTAATTCGAACTGGAGGGCCCTGGGTTACATCGCTCCGCAGAGACGTCGGCCCACAGTGATCGCAACGTGTTGCAAAATGAAAGGTACTAGAGATGCAAAACAACGAAACAGCAACGTTTCTCAAGTGAGAATTAGGCAGCTGCGTTGGTGCTCTTGTGCAAGCTTCAAACGATGTTCATGGAGTCGCGTCTGCAGAAACGCAATTAAGCAAATGCTAATTACGAATTAAGCTAATCTTTTATTGCATTACTCTGCCACGTACGTAAACGTGTTTTGGTGCATAAAATAGCGTCTTACATTGTGACACGGCGCATTGTTCCCATGAATGCATTACAGTGCTCGTTTCTGGACTATCACTGACTGGTAAATTAATTCTGTTCGCTGATAGAGCTCTATGTACCTAATTTACAAAATCGCTAGACACAAACGTGCAGTAGCGCCTAATTCGCGAAAACAAGTACAGAGGTGATTTTTTCACGTTCTGTCCGCCCAGAGTGGCGCGATTTCCGTTCATTATAGCTCCCGCCCGATAATTCAAACTCCGCTTAATTCCTGGGATTTCATAACCTCAATAATAATAAATTAGATTACAAAGGTAAACCAAAAAGAAAGATAAGAGAAGTGTATTGAAATGGTAACGTAGCAAACTTTATTAACAAATGTCCTATGTACAGTTGATGAGGAACACTTGCACATCTACGACCGGATGCATACACTACACGTGCTGCACTTCCTTCAGGTGCGACTCCTGCAGCAACCTTCGGCACAGGTGCGGTACACTGCAGACAAAGCCAAGAACCACAATTTAAGTAATATGTTCCACCTACGTCGCGCACTAAAAGTTCCCCAAAAGCATTTCCGGCACCACTTTAAACAAGATATAGGTACTGTTGAAGCATAGATGTACCCATGTTACAACTCCAGTTCAAAATTTTTAAGGCGCTTGGAACATGTTTCAGTATGCTATTAAAGAACAACGACAAGAATGACATTTTTTTGTTGTTGTTTGGAGCGAAGCTTAAATGTGCGCAACGCGTGCAAAGTACGCTTACAAAAGAAGAAAAGCGCGCTGATGACGTAGTAGTATGGTTTTGCGTCAAATGACATTCGTTTTCGCGACATCAGCCCTCGTCTCAATGGCAGATGCATGTCCAGGCCGGACTGAAAAAGCGCGCGAGCGTTCCACATTGCGAAGGCCGTAAGACAGAACGTTCGCGCACCTTTTCGGTACGGCCGTGGTCCAGCATAGCAACTCAACGAAACCTCATGGGAAACTATTTTTTTTTTTGTCGCTTCCCTCTAAGTGTACAAACTATCAAGAATAAAAGTTGCGACATTGCATTGGTTGGCGGAGATTGCCAACAAACACCATGTTCTTGAAGCAAGCCACAGGGCTTTCCTAGATAATAGCGTAGCCACCATGTCGTCTAAAGTAGGTTTCGAATAAAACCCCAGGTGGTCAAAATTTCTGGAGTCCTCCACTACGGCGTCTCTCATAATCATATGGTGGTTTTGGGACGTTAAACCCCACATATCAATCATCAATCATTAGGTTTAGAATAAATTGCGTAAAGAGAGGTTTTTCAGAACCGACTCCGATCATGGTGCCCTTACCAGGAAGTCTCGCTGGAATCCTCGCTTACCAACGAGCTACTGTCGGACGTTTACGAACCTCGGAAGCATTTATCTGCGTAAGCTAAACTGTTACTTACCTTCAGCACCTTTTTTTCCCCCTTTTCAATGCATCATAGTTACGCTCTTGGCACCCCCTTAACTATCTGGGGGGGAGCATCAACTCCGGCACATACCTTTGCTCAGTCATATTTGACTCGTATGGTCAGCCACAAAATTTTGCGGACTACACTCGCGCGTTCAAAACTACCTGTCCGCGCTACTTTGCGGTGAGCCATCTACCGTCGATCACAGAGCTAGGCTGGATACGGCTATTCATGTTATTCACTGACCTTCAAACTCTCTACCGCAGCACAGCGCTTCGTTTGTTCGTAGTTTTCACGCGAGGCGGTCATGTGCAGTATGTTCCGTTGGCTAGGTATCACTTAGCGATAAAGATTGCGACTGATAACAGTTGTGCTCATAAACTACTCTCGAGCCAAATGCACGTAGACGCACGTGTCAAAAAGCACGTCGCGTTAAGAAGTGAAAGGTGAACGTTATTTGTACCCACTCGTAAAACAGCCAAACCATGTGTCTCGGGCGCTGTTGATCGCCGCTGACAAAGTGGAAGTATCGCGAAGAAGCTTTTGGCCACGCGCTAGCGTGGTCCGTAAACTTTTGCGGTCGAGTGTACATTACTTATTGTGTACGCGTTCCCCCCCCCCCCCTTTTTTTTTTTTTTACCGGCAGCCGAGGGCCACTGCAATGATGCAGCATTAAAAGAACTGCTCACTTTCACCTCCGTAAAGCGGGAAACCAAGGATAAGTCGTTGTGGGAAGCACGTAATCCCTTTGTTTCCACCATTTCATTCACTGCGAAGCTCGGAAGCTTGTTTTCTTTCGAATGCAACAACGGATGGGGAGTCTGGAGACGTCATCCCCGTATCAGAGCGTCCTGCACACGCCTGTGGTCACGAACCAATCGGACCAGATACTCATACGTTAAACCAGTGACCTTGAGATTTGATAAAGTGTACTGCAACACAGCACATATGATGGTGCGTACATTTGCCGCTACCCTCTCGAAAGTTTTAACTATTACCACGATAATCGTAATGCATCGCAACGTCACCTACCAGCCCTCTCGCAGAATTCTGAAGCAGCCCGGCAAAGAGAAGTCGATGACTGTGGACCCTTCCCGGTGAAATCCGGACACTGACAAGTCGCCCCCGTCGAACACTGCGTCCAGAAATGGCCACAGGCTTTGGAATTCCTGCGAGCAGGCGAATACGTCTCGTATACAACCCGGGGGCGCTTGAGACGCCGGCGCGCTAGGAAGATAAAAATGAGTAATAGCGTCATTCACCTGTATGGTCAGCGTGCTCATCTCCGAGCTCACGTTGGCACTTGTGAGTGCCAGCGGTCCGCCACAAAGCTTCGTCGTCTGCCTGATGAAATCGCTGTCAGGAACACGGACGCCGACGAGGTTTGTGAATGGATTTAGGGCAGGATTGAGGCGAGACGTCCGGCAGAACACCGCCGTTACTGGTCCCGGAAAAAGCTGGCGCAGTAGGTTTTCAGGGATAGAAACTTCGGCCCACCTGGAAAATGCGTCGCGTAGTTAGTTTCTCGACGCTTGGACCAAAGCCACCGCAATTGCGAGGATTAGCCCCGACATTGCATCAATGCGAACGTTTACTTGACCCAGAGGCAAATGCAGAAGGCAACGCAGCATGCTACGAATGGCGCTAACACTCCCACGTTTAAGTGCATATGTAGCTCAATATGGTAGAGTATCGGAAGAGTCATTAGAAGGTTGCAGGTTCGGCACACACCAGCGGCAAGTTGTCTTTTCGTCTACTTTAATTCTTCACGCATATCCCCTATTTTTTTTTTTTCCTCGGCATGATTGTCACGCAAGCACACTTCATAACGTTTGTGCGTAACCAGCTGGAAGCGATTATGTGCCATCGTGAGTGTTCTCGTACCAGTGATATGATAACTTACTGCGATATGTCAGCAACGTCATGCACGCAGATTGCGACAGGCTTTCCGGCGTCTCTTCTTTTCAAATGGTACAGCCGCGCAACAGATTCGGAATGTTGCGCCAGCGCCGCAACACCATAGATCGTGTCTGTCGGCACTGCGATCACTCCACCCGCCTTCAGTATAGATGCTGCTTCTTTGGCTGCGTCGGACCCTACGAGGAAAAAAAAAAACATTAAAGAGTGACTAACCGGGTAGTTGACGCGTGCTTTCCTGGAAGCGGATCCAGTCAATCTCTATACTATCCATACCAAACGACTCTTAACATAATGCAGTTACTTCAGCGGTGATAGGCACAGAGGAAATAGACAGGTCCATCGCGTACAGAAGGGCTCAGAGCTGTCCCATTAGTCACTAAACGGCCGATTGCATCAGTTGCGAATGCAATGAATGACACGCACCGTGGTTTGGAGGAGACTTGACTGGAATTATCTTCGGCGTGCTTAACATTGTATCCCGTTCTTGCTTCCTGACAATAGCGGAAGCACAATCCCTGGAAGCGTGTCTTTGTTACCGTGGCTCGCATAATTCGGTTACAAAGGAAATCGCGCGCCGCTTGACACGACCACAGACAGCATCAAGAACGTCTAATGTGGGCAGCGCCATGTTTAAAGCACTGGGTTATAGTAAAACCTGACAAAAAGCTGTTCCGAACAGCATTATTAAACTAAAATATTATTGCAAGAACAATAAAAAAACAAGTATTTTTTACAACAATAATATAAATGTTGTTGGTTTTATATATATTCACAAATATGATAAGGCGAAAGAAATTTAGTTGTTTTGCATCGCATTTTGTCCAATCTCAATATGGCAGCGGCCACACGTGAAAACATGGATGGCGAGCAGTATTCAGATAAGCGAGTGTTTACGAGAAGAAAATGGAACAAGCCGTCAAAGAATTTCAGTCGACGCGGAGACAAAGAGTCAATGAAAGTTTACAGGAAGAGGCAGACGAAAGGTTTGACAGAAAAAGAAGAAATCGACAGGCTTCGAGCTCTCTACGAAGACGTAAGTATGCTGCTCCGAGCTATGACATATATTTTTAGAGTCTGTTATGCGGAATACGGTGGCAGAATTGGCGTCAAGAATGCAGTGGCTAAAGCGAATACATGTTAAAAATGAGTTTTTTTAGCTTTATTGCTGATCACGGTGACGGTGCAAGCACAGATGTGTCAGAATCTGAATGCACTGACGTGCGTTTCAACCAGTCATTCGATATCACTTGTAACGTCGGGGTTTTATTTTTGTCTAGTTCGACTCCAAAAGCGCGACAACCTTCAAGGACTTTCCTCTAGTCAACGAAGACGCAACTTGGTGAGTGCCTAATTTATGATTTTTTTTGCATGTGTGTCTCTTAACACTCCGTGCTGGTATGGCCCGCGTGAAGTGTTCGCTGGTTCTGCTCGCAGCCTGCAGCCACATCAGCCTGTGATGACTGACGTTTTAACGATTGGGAAAGAAACTGATTATGTGTGTTGGCCGTCACCGAATGACAGCGTAAAAGTCATTGCTGCTGGCTGTGTCTTACCCATTCACGCATAAACTGCTTTCCACAAGAACCCAATCTATGCTCGTATAAAGACACACGTGGCACGCAAGCTTCAATGCTGGCGTTTGTCCCTTGATGTCTGTTGTGGCATCGTTTTTGTTTGTTTGTTGATGCATTGCCGAAGATTAGGTTATTCTAAGCGTAACTATATGACCAGTGAACATACTTTCTTGGTTGCATAGTTTAAATACCCTTTGACAAGTTGCTCTTACGCCAATGCTTCTTACGTTTCGTGCAGGGCTTCAAGAGGCTGGGTATGTTACACCAACTGAAATTCAGCAAGAGGCCATTGGACTTGCATTGAGAGGCCATGACATCCTTGGAGCTGCCAAGACTGGCTCTGGAAAGACACTTGCATTTCTAATACCTGTAAGGGTTGACATCGTTAAACGTACTATGTTGTTTACTTTGTTCCATACGCATTTATTACTGGTTACAAGCATTATTTTTCCAGAATGGCAACTGTTAAATGACATAATTATTGTGAAAGAAGGTATGATACGATTCTGTACATGCACAACATATTTCTTATAGGTGTGTAAGAAGACAGTTCATACTGAAAGACAGGAGATGCAAACACAGACACAAGAAAGTAGTAATGACGCCACAAATATGGCTTTCTAAAGGGGTGCACTACTTCCCTTGTGTACATAAGTTAAGTCATTTGATTCCTTCTTTATGCAAGTTAATGGAAAAGTGGCTTACGCATGTGCTACCACTGTTATCGATATGCCGTGCCTCAATCATTAAATGCATTTCTTCATTTCTATTACCTTTTTCATGGGCATGCATAGATAATTTTTAGTTCCTTGTTTCTTTCGCACCGTTGTGCGCCCCTTCAGTTGACGTTCGTCTGTCTGTGCTTGCACGTCCCGTCTTCTTTAATACTTACAAAACTAGCTCATCTCTCAGTTATACTAAGAAGACAATATTGCGACTATTTTTTGCTCTGCAGACGCATATTTTTATAATTTTTTGTGCTCATGATAGATCTCAGAATAATTAAGATTAGGAAAAAAAGACTTCTGGTTTTCGTTTATGAATCATTTATATTATTATATAACAGCTGTTATATAAAAAATTGATCAGTGAGCCATAATGTTGCAGGAAGGAGGGTTTCTGTCCTAACCTAATGTCTGTGTCATTCATAAACATGAAATTCAAACAGTACTATCACAAAAAAATGTGAAGTAGTGCAAAGATTGCTTTGTAGAAATGATGCATGTTTTAAGTGCCGGATGCATATTATGTGGAAAACCTCTCATAATAGCTTGATGTTCATGGCTTGTTTGCTTGTCATTAACACACATCTGTTCTTATCCTACAATAGCTTATATTAAAGCCTTTCTCATTACTGTTTTACATCGCAAAGGTGCTGGAAAAGCTGTATTGTGAAATGTGGGCCCGCAACTACGGCATTGGCGCCCTGATTATTACACCAACAAGAGAGCTGGCGTACCAGATATTTGAAGTGCTCAAGAAGATAGGTGTGCATCATGACTTTTCAGCTGGTCTTGTAATAGGAGGAAAAGTAAGTCAAAAGCGTTTTTTTTTCTTAGCAGTTTATGACAGTGTTCTGCCCTTACTTCGTGAAAATTGGGGTATCTAGTCGGTTGCCCCACATGTGGGACTACCTCGTAACATGTGCAGGGCATGTAGCCTAACTATTAAGAAATACCTTTTCTTCTGCTTCACGTTTTTTGAAAACTTTTGCACATAAATTTCTCTAGCCTATTTTTCAATCACAAACACTGCCATAGCGTGTCTTCTGAATGTCCCAATTTTTCATAGGGTTTACGAAGTTGGGCTTTTTTAATAAAGAATTTCACATCCTGTTTTATAAAACATATTTTTTTAATGCAAAGGCTTCACCAGTCGGTTTTTGTAACTTCTGGGAGAAGTCTTCTGGTGGTGAATTGATGCATAAAGAATAATGCTGGAACATGTTTGGGCTTTCCGAAGCATGCAAAGTTTGGCGGCAGCAAAGTCGCCAAAAATTTCTGTGGCATGTAAACAATGTGTTGCTTGTCTGTCATTTCTGTTACAAGTTTCTTGCATTGCATCTGTAGGTAAAGCTTCTTTATTCATGTGTTCATATATTCCTGAAATTATTTAGGCTTGGGACTGACTTTAAAAAATCTACAATGATTACTTTATTGTGCCTGTAAGATTTTAAAATGCGAAAATTGCATTACCTTGCAGGTATGCTTTGAATTCTGGTGATTTTTAAAAAGATCTGGGCTCTGCTTTCTTAGTGCACTGTGGTGACTGCAAATCTGCTTGCGATTTGGCATGATAAACATAATGCCACCCATGTTGAATACTATTCTTACTATAAATGACGGTAATTTATAGATTTGGGGAAAGTGTGGTCTATACGGAAGTGATAATTCTACAATGGCACACCAATGCAGAACAGTTCCGATGACATTTGGAGTCTGGTTTTGTTGTTGCCCGACTTTGAATGGCAATGTGCATATGCTTAATGCTCTGTACGCTTTTTTTTTCTTCTAGGATTTAAAGTTCGAGAGCAAACGGATGGATTCGTGCAACATTGTCATTTGCACACCAGGTCGCCTACTGCAACACATGGATGAAAACCCACTGTTTGATGCCACCCAGTTGCAGATTTTAGGGTGGGTGGTTGGTTCTTGACGGTTCAACATGTATTATTCACAGTGAAATTGGGAATATGGTGGATATTGTATTCCTAAATTTATTAGACATATTACATGGTGCATTTAAAGTAAAGTCAGTTTTGTGTTTACCGGCAAAACATTTAGTGTGATACTGTTAAAGTCCTGGATAGTTTGAAACAGAATGCATTTTGGGGGCATTCTTATATTAAATACCACACCAAGAGAGATCTTTTTGTTTGCTTTCATTGCAGAATATAGAACGTTTGTACTTTATATAGGGTGGTAAGCAGTGCTACTTCGAGAAACTTGCCAGTTGTGTGTACTGCACACAAATTTGTAGTGTGAATGACAGGGAAAATTGTCTGTGTTTTGATTTCATCATACTGATAATTGCTTGAAAGATTGTGATATTAATGTCCAATTTTTATGTAAAGGGCACCTTTTTTTTTGTGATGGGAATCGGTGAGAATTCCATTGGGTGAATATGGCAGGTAAGAGATAATGTAAATGGAAAGAGCGCAAACTATCAACTGGTTTTATTCATTTGGTCGCTGCATATATATGCACTTTTTTCACATGTCGCAAATAAATCAAAAGAAGAGAGGGAGAATTAAAAAGCACATGCTAAGATCACCTCATGTTAACAAAAGCTGCGCAGAAAGTTATACAGAGTAACAAAAGTGTCACGCAGTTATAGCCCATTTTCTTAATACACAAAGCTTCCGACGGCTCAAGCCCTACACAGATATGCACCAGCTCGCCAGCAAAAAGTTTTATTAGGCATCTTTTATTTATTGCTGGCAGAAATTATGCATATTTTAAACTCTTTGTGATTTTATGTTCTCACTTCTTCCAGTACTGGATGAAGCAGATCGCATTTTAGACTTGGGTTTCCAGCAGACAGTCAATGCGATTATCGAAAACATTCCGCTGCAGCGGCAGACATTGCTCTTCTCAGCGACGCAGACTAAGTAAGGGAACATTTTTTGCTTGTGTTACTTGTGTCTGGTGATTTGTGATATGAAAGCATGTGTGTTTTACCATGGGTTACAGGTGTTGTGATATTTCTCTTTAGTTACTCTAATTAGTAATTAATTGTCTGCCCTAGGTCTGTGAAAGACTTGGCAAGGCTGAGTCTGAAAGACCCAGATTATGTGTCGGTTCATGAGAATGCCAAGTTTTCTACGCCTGAAGGCCTCAGACAGGTATGTTGGTAAACTTTTTCCTGTACACTTGACAGTGTATTGAAACGTTAGCCTAGCTATGCATTGTATGGCTTGGGAGATTTTTATATTTGTCTCTCAACCCTTGTATTTTTTACTGGAATAGTAAGGGCTCATTTGTTTGGGCTTCGGTACTTGAAAAAAAAAAAAAAAAACTCGTATCTGTGTTTTTGCTCGAGTGAAGTGCAATTCAGATTTCTTAAACTTTAATGGTTATTTAAAATAATCCAATTGGAATGCTGTTTTGTCTTTCGTGCAGAGCTATGTTGTTTGCGAGCTTCATAACAAGTTGAACTTGCTTTGGTCATTTATCCGGAACCACCTGAAGCAGAAAATTCTTGTCTTTCTGTCCAGCTGCAAACAGGTACTTGGGATTTCGTATTCACTTTTAACCTTCTTTGTGTGTTGCATCGGTATATGATTTCTGAGCATTTGTTTCTGTATTAGAATAGTGCAACAGGTAGATAAATAACAATGTAAATTTGCTGTGCACTTATGCCGAGTTGTTGTATAGTGCTGGTTAAAAGTTCTCAGACTGCCATGCATTCCTGTGGCAGTGTTGCCTGGGAACTTCCGACTCGCTCTGTAGCTCCAACTATTCAGTCGCATCTCACTCCAAGGGGATGGCAAAAGATGTCAATATACTGGTAACTGCAGATCCAAAATTCGCTTATTTGAAGCTTATCAAAAAACTCCATATAAATCTGGTCTAGTCTCTTGCGATATGAAAAACGAGAACTCGCCAACTTTTTGCCAAAAGGATGTCAGCTTACGTGTTACTAATATCTTATCCACACCATCATGTGGAACGCGCATTCCGAGCTGGGAGTCTGTGTTCTTGAAACAGCATGAAGGTCCTACACTCAGTAACAAATCTCCACAGCTACTAGCATATGTGTTGCCTTGTACCCTTCTTTTGTGTCCATGTTTGCAATCCTTACGTTGTCTCTGGAGTCCTTCATGTCATGGCAGTTAGCTTTTCAATATTTGTAATCTCATTAGTAAGCCTAGCAGAATGCTTGTCAAGTCATGTAGTTGTCTTATGTTGTAGCCTGTTATGCCAGCGTGTAACACTGTCCTTGTCTCTTGGTGTTCTCTGAGCACTAAGAGGATGTTTTGCTTAAATCTGTGTCTTCTCGTTTCACCACTTGCTTCCCTTCTGTTTTTTTTTCTCTTTCTTTTTGCCATTGGCTCAAATCAGGTCAAGTATGTGTACCGAGCGTTCTGCCGTATGAGGCCAGGCATGACCATCCTGGAACTCCATGGCAACATGTTCCAACTGAAGCGCATGGCTGTGTATGACGAGTTTTGCCGCAAACAGAGCGCTGTTCTTATCGCCACCGACATTGCAGCACGAGGCCTGGGTAAGACGGTGGCCGTTTTAAGACTTTTGGCTGGCTGGTTGGTGTTGTGAATGAACACTTTCTCTAATGTTCCACCTACCAGTCCACAGAATTACTTCCTTTTCTCTTCGTGTATACCCCCAATAGTTAACGTGTCTTCTTAGGCAGAGTGTGTGCAGGTGTGAGCTAGACTGCACTTGATTGTAGCTGCTACCAGTAATTTGTAATGTCAGTTTGCTTGTAATGGTGAGTCAAACTTTTATATGGGGGCGGTCTGCGACATCACAAAAGGTAGCAACTTACTGGATATTTTAAATATGCTTAATTGCCGTTACTGACTGACTGGTTTTACTAAATACTTATACCATTAGGTGAATTTCGCATAGCTTTGTCCATTTGAAAACTTTGTTCTTATGTAGGGTGCGCAGTCATGTGCACAATACTGCCACGTGCATAATTGTGGTACTGCACCAATCTAAGTTATTGTCGTGTCAGGAGGTCTTGTTCTTAAAACACAAAGGTCAATCATTTTGTCAACGCAGCTGTCATATTTTTTCTACTCCAGATTTTCCAGCCGTCAACTGGGTAATCCAATTCGACTGCCCTGAAGACGTTAGTACTTACATCCACAGAGCCGGGAGAACGGCCAGGTATGAGCTAGTTAATTAACCTCACTTATTGAACGATTGTTGGGAAGATGTTGCTTTCGAAATATACCTGTCATCAGTTTCTTGAACAAATTGGATAATGAGTAGAGTTCTTTTTCCTGAAGCCAAAACCTAGGCTGCCATGACTTTTCTCTGCACAGTTTCGTTTCCTCTGGTCCAAAGTATGCGTGACATGTTTTGTTGCTGTTCCTCTAGGTTCCAGAAAGATGGTGAAGCACTGCTGATCTTGCTTCCTTCAGAAGAACCCATGGCAGAGCAATTGACTGAGAACAAAATACCAATATCGAAAATACAGTGAGTACATAGAGCCTGAATTACTTTATGGAGCTTTTTGGAAAGGCAAAAGAAATAAGTTGTTTGTTCTTTGACGCTATTGGCATTTGGAAAACAGCAGTATGTCTTGAAAATTTCTCTGTTCATATAAATATTTAGAGTGCCAAAGTAAAGATATGTAAAAATATTTACTGTTAAGCGCCTGAGCTGCAGTCTTTGAACATAAAAATGAATTAGTGAGGATGGTTGACTAGAATAGCTAAATGAGCTTGTGTGTTGTTCCTCATTTCAGAGTCAATCCCAAGATGTTTGTAAATGTACAGAAGAAGCTGGAAGTCATGTGTGCCAGAGACGTAGCATTAAAGGAGTGTGCCCAAAGGGTGGGTACATTTGAATATACAGATTTGTTTTTCTTAATCACGGGATGCCTTTCGAAGAACAGTTTAACTTTTGGGAGAAATGTGCAGTAATCCCTCAATTGAAACAGTAACCTTACAAACTGAGTATACGAAAGACTAAGATACATTTAGAAATTTATTGTGCTGGCTGTCAATTACTCTGAGGTTCCTGTTAATGAAGTATTGTCCAAGCAGCAATACATATCACTTGACCTTTCTTTTATTTTCCTTGTAAAGCATAAGCATATATAAAGCATTTCCTTATAAAGCATAGCTTTGTATACTTTTGATAGAGTACATCATTTTGGAAGTTTCCAAAGGGGCTGTACATCTTAGTTCAATGCTTTGTGTATACCTGTAGCTGTTTGTGTCTGTGCTTGTCAGCGAGCAAGGCTGAGCTGGTTTTTTCTTTTTCTAATGCCTTTTTGGTGGCCTGTGTACTTCATTTCATAGAATGTTTTTACGGTAGCATGATTTCTTGCTGCTTTATTTTATAGACTTGATGCCCGCAATCCTTTCTACATTTGCAGGGTAAATGCACCTCGTTACTTGACGCCAGGAACAGTTTGTGTACCAAGAAAATAGAATCTTTCGTATTTCTCTTCGTGAGAAATTTAACGGATCTGTTTTCTTTCTCTCTGTTTCAGTGCTTCACAGCTTATTTAAAAAGCGTATTTCTCATGAAAGACAAGACTGTGTTTGATGTGACCAAGCTTGATCTGGATGCATTTGCAAGGTGAGAGTGGTGCTTCGTTAAATGGCAGAACTTTTTCAGTTGAAAAGTTTCTGAGAGGTTGAGAGAGGGTGTAAAACTAATAGCTCTTGATCCTTCATGCTTGTTATTAAAATTGCTTCTTACTTGCTCTTTGACTACAATCTGTTAACACAAATTTTTTTCTTGCACTGCCTACCAGTAATGTGTGCAACTTGCTAAGCCTATATTTGTTAATTTGAATGCTTGCAAGGTGTCTAATGGCTTTCATGCTTAATGCTACGTCTTCACAAGCCTCTGTATTTTTTGTTTCTGTAAAAGGGAGTGTAGCTAGCATTTCATTGAGGTAATCCATTTGTGTTCTCCGTTCAGTCATTTTCACTCAAGATTTACGTCTACTTAGCCCACTGTTATAAAATTTTCAGGCTAATGTGTGGTGCTGAATAATAAAATTTTAATGCAACGGCATTGCAGAGCTTGTTTTGCAAAAATTTCAGTGTCGGTGTCGGCATCGTTGGTTGTGAGCGAAAAATAATCTTGTGCATGACTGAAAAATCGAGAAAGATGGAAATAAAATATATAATAAAAAAAATGCCGAGCTTGACTGAGGATCGAACATGGGTCGTTTGCGTGGCAAGCAAGTGTTCTACCATGGAGCCACGCATCTGCATGGAAATGCAGTGAAAGTTACTTGTATGCTTTACAAACACACGTGTCCTGTACACATGCTTCATGATGCAACGTATTACCGCAATAATAATGCCTGGCACAAGTGTACATTGCGATCGGGCGTCAAAACATGCGGATAATCATGAATTCATAGTTTAAAGTGGGCCACCCACTACCAACGGCACACACATTGCTGCATCTTTTTCCTTAAAGTCGCGTAGTGGGTGCATAGGATGTTCGAAAAGGCTTTCAGGCGCAATTGCCCAGGGTTCAAAGCATGCTACCCATTACACAGAATGCAGATGTGTAGAGAAGCTTCACTGAGACAAGCCATCTTAAACTCGGTACGCACTAGGGACAGGATATCGCTATCGCGTTCAGCTCTTAAAGGCGAAGCTTAAGGGTCCCCCAATTTTTAATAATATTGTGGACTTCAGTAATACTTGCAACCACGAAGTGACTAAGTGCGATTTACTATAGGCAAACTCAACAAGGTGACATTGTCGTTAAGGGGTTCTGTTGTCAGTTGAGATGTATGTTATTTGAAAAAAGAAAAGCCTAGACTGAAATGAAAGTCTTGTGGCATGTGCTACCCTCTCGAGAAACGGGACATAGACGATGCATTAGCATAATTTATATCAGTAGTCCGTGCTGCTTTCTGATAAAGCTCACAAATTTACAAGGTCACTCAAACTACAATTTGGGAAAGGTTTCGTTCTTGTGTTCACTCGCTTGGTGTGGATTGTACACTTGCTATCTCGAACCTTTTCCAGACCAACTGTTAATTACTACAAATTATTTGTTTGGTTGCCATCTTTCTCTGGCCCTTTCTATCCTACATGTGTAGTGTGCCTTGAGTCGGGAAATGCCAATTGGCTAGGCAGACTGATATTTCTGAGTTGTCAAAAGGGCACTCAGAAGAAAAAGATTTTTGTAAAGTTAGTAAATAAAATTTCACAGTACCCAAAGCACCTCCCTTACCAGAAAAGATACTTGGAAAGTGAAAAAAAAATGTGCAAAAAAGAACAAATACAGGTGACTGCACCACCTTGAAGTTTCCTTCACCACCTTGAAGGTACAAATTTTAGGGGGGGGGGCAGTTTTCTCCCCCACACCCTGTCACTGGTGCCACCACACCATTTGCTACGGCCTACATGATAATTCTTTGACAAAATGTTTACATGGTGTTCTGAAAAATCCAGAGTCTCAAGTTGGCATGTTTAAAAAAATATTATTGAACGAGTGGGGCCAAAATATACAAGAAGACTGAAATTTGGCACTTAAATTTACATTACAAAGTTTCGTGGTGAAGTTCAAAGATGAAACTTTGAGCTTCATTTCTTTTTCTAATAACTATCCCATGATAATGGAGTTAATGATGATACTATTCTGAAAAATAATTTATCTCTCTAAAAGGACTTTGTTTCACTTTAATGGTTTCCTTATTTACTCAGCTATGTGTGTCTATTGTGCGCATTGTAGGTCATTAGGCCTGGCCATGGCCCCTCGAGTGCGTTTTCTTCAGAAGCACATGAAAGAACTTGAGGCAAGGGAGGCCAAGCAGAAGAAAATGGCGGAGGAGAAGGCAGCAAAGGCAAAGAGTGCGGACAAAGCTAAGGCGGGACAAGATGTGTCCACAAAGCCCGTTCCACCCGTCAAAGGTCCCGACACAGAAGCATTCCAGTTTGACGTGTCGGACGAAAGTGAAGATGACATATTCACTGTCAAGAGACAAGTGACATACAAATCTGATGTAAGCAGTGGGAACATTGGTGCATTTGGTTGCTGGGCTTTAGTATTTGCAGTACCAGACTGTGTACTGGCCACGTACTTGTAATTACAGTCTACAACATTTGCTCTCAAATCTTTCATTTTGCTTATGGTACATTCGAATATTGGCAGTTTTGTGTCCACTATAGCAAGAAATCTGTACAGGAAACAAGAGTAAAATAAGACAAAGGAGGTTAATATTCGTGTTTTTCTTAAATTTGTTATTTTGTAATTATTTAGATTAATAACTATGCAGTAGTAATTATACTGGCTGTATGCAGTTTTCTGTGCCACAAAAATAGGTGTAAATATTTAATGTTTGTATAGGTTAATGCATTTTCAGCAAATGTTATTCTCGTTTTTATATTCCATTATTTCTATCAATTTTAAGAAGTGTCAAAATTTTTAATGTGTGCTTGTGTTTGCACTATATTGTGCAAAGTCTGGATTTATTATTCCTTCTTTTCATTTCAATGCAGCCAGCTGTGTACAATAGCTTGCTGGGATTTGTGTTTCTCCCACGCAATATATGGCATTTCTGCTTCTTTGAAACGTTCAAGAACATATACTAATGCAAACTGCACTGCAAATCGTCTATTTCTGCCTAGTACTTTTGTAATGCTGGTGCAATATGAATCTGCATTGGTTTGTTGCAGCAGTGAAAGAAAATAAGCTTGGAGTATTCCTCATTTCACATGTCGCAGCAATTGCAGGGAGCTTTGGGATTTTTATTGGTGATCTCACAGACCGAAAAGCTTAGGAACATTCTTTTTTCTTTAGAAGTTTCCACACTAAAACACAGTATTGTTAGTTTCTGTCATCCTGGTGTGGTGCATTTGTTACTACAGCCCTTGTAGGATCACAATCGCATTTAGTCATTTACAGCACTACCCCAGTAACTGAGAATGATGCATCCGATTTCTAATTATTGTTCGTCTGTCCCCAAAGTAAAGGAAAAAAAATTATTTTGAATGGTTTTTGGGAGGGCTTAGAAGTGTAGGTGGTCGAAAATACTGTGTAAAAGACAAATAGATTGGGTGTTAAGGCTCCATGATAATAATACATATAACACAGCCCTTTTTTCAGAGGACATAAATTAAATGACACACATGGTGTCTGGGCTGGAACTTTCAAATTATTGCTGTTTGATACCAAGGTGCGAAAGGATTGTTACCGTGAAAAAAGGACTGCATGATAGTAACCAATGTGACAAGCAAAACTTGCGAAGCAGCCTCTTGTGAGGCTTCAAATACCTTTTTTTTTTTTCCAGGATGATGACGCAGAATTACCTGCCGCTGTGGAGGAGCAAGACATAAAGAAAAAGAAAAAAGTCATAACAAAGGTTGCGTTGGCCAAGAAAGTGCTCAAGAAGAAAGTAGTGCCAAACACAAAAGTCATCTTTGATGATGAAGGCGAGGTAAAGAAGTCTTCAAAGCATTACTTCGCTTGTCACTGCATGTGGACAGTGTGAATACTTTATAGGTGCCTGAAACTTTTCCTGAATGTCCTGAACTAAGTGTTATTAGTTGTTAAAAATGTTCTCCGGTTTTCACGCTCATAATCACCAGTGTAAGGGTAAAGCATCTGAATGCCATGTGAACCACTGTTTCCACAAATCAACAAAAAAAGATGTTTTTTTTTTAAAGTTGGTTTGTATAGAGAGCACCTTGTGTTTTGTTGTAAACCGAGCATCAAAATCAACACCGTGACTTTTGCGACGAAGGGAAACGGGGAGGAGGGTGTTGCCACAAAGCAAACTTGAGCAAAATGCTTGTGCGACGTTACATATGTACTAGTGTATCGGTGTACCGTAAAATCCTGAGCAAGCCCTTTCACTCAACTAAGTGCCCCTCTCCTATTTTTGGGAGATTTCAAACATGCGGCCTCTTCTGCCCTCCGACCAGTTTCACCATTTAATTCGCCGTTTTCTTTTGCCCGAAGAAGGCAAATGAATACAGCGAACACCTGCGTACTATTCAGTGAAGCATGCCATTATAAGCACATGTGTGCATCCGTTATTACCAACAACTCTTCCAATGTCATCTAGAGTTTCATTCCATGGCCGAGCAAGGGCCCCCCTCCAAATCTTGTGGACTTATCCTTGACCGCACGGGGGGGGGGGGGGGGGGGGTGCTTGCTTGGGATTTTACGGCAGTGCATCCATATCGAGATCTTTTAGGCATTGGCAAAAAAATAATTAGAGCACAAACAAATGGCACACTCACACAGGCGCACACCTGCGTGGGTGTGTGTGTGAATGTTCTGAGTGTTTGCGCTCAAATTGTTTTTTGAAAATGACATTTCAACTAACTCAACAAGTTTCTTTAGTTTAGGCATTAATGCTAAAAAATTTGAGCTATGTGTTACATAACTGTGCAGGTATTCTCGCTTTGCATTTTTTTTGTTCTTTGAATTAACATTCAAACCTGTTCTCAATATCGCATAGATATGGTCGTCCATCGATAGTGCTGTGTTTTGTAATCTTTCTGACCCTTAATATTGCTAACATTCACAGGTTGTAGAAGGTATCAACGTACCCAAGGCTCAAGTGGTCAAGAAATTGCTGGAGGAAGAGAAAGCACCCTGTGGCATTGACCTAGAGATCTCGAAGAAGATTCTTGAGGAAGAGGACAAGTTTGACAAGGAGCGCTACCGGGTGCGCATCAGGGCAATGCACAAGGTACGAATTGAGGAGTCGTTATAAGGTTGATACCTTATGCAAGTTTTAGCACAATTACCCTAGCACAAAAGACTTTAGCAACTGCATTGTAATCAGAGCCCTCCTGTTAATTAAATTAGACATATATACTGAGAAAATATAATCTATATTTAAAAGGTAGGCTCATGTGTTCATTTACCTGATGATTTTTCTCCAAGTCATTGCTGACAATTTCTAAGACTGAAGGGACCTCCATTGTTACCATTTTTGTTTGCAGTTGACATACCACTTAATAAGCTCTCTCTCCAAGCAATATTGACAACCAACCTTGGGGGCGAATTTCCTGCAGTTGTTGACCTCTTTTAGCTGCTAATTGCCCTTACATTTGCTCCTTTGGTTTCAGATGAAGCGACTGAAGATGCGCCAAGAGCGGAAAGAACAGAGCGGCGAGGCAGGTGCAGAATTGGTATGTGCCACATCTTTCTGTTTATATGCTGAAGTTAGTCTGAGCAGAATATGTCGTCTTTCACACATGTGTAAATGTTTAAGCCTAGATTGTTAGGGAAGCCAAGCCTTAAGTGCGACTCATTGTCTCTGAAAGGATTGCTGGCAGTGGAAGTGAACAGGAAGATGAAGGCGAAAGTGAAGAAGAGCAGGAGGAAGCATCTGGCTCGACAGGTGAAGAGGACAGTGAAGGCACAGAGGCCAGCTCTGAAGACGATGATCACCCGCAAAGGTTTGCGCTCTGTTTCTTTCTATCTCCTCTGTTCTTTGTATGCGCCTTTAGTATCATTGTATGCTGTTTGGTCTTCTTGTTTCACTTTGCAACTGCAATGAAGTTCACTGTGTCATGTGATCAAAATTATTATGCCCAGCTTTTGTTTAATTAGCAAGGTGCTTGATGGTGCAATCGTTTCATCAGAATATTCATATTGCTATGCTGCACCAATATAAATCGTTCATTAGAACTACAGTTCATTGACAGTACCTACATACTGTTTCTCTTAGTTGGACATTCATACTGTAACTTTTCTACTGCCAGTACATATTCTGTTTCATCAAGCTACAATGATAACTTAAGGTTTTCGTTTTTTAGCGGAAAACGAAAGGCCAACCAAAGCACCAAGTTGCTGCCCGTGAAGAAAATGGCGAGGAGACAGCCACAACATGCAAACACTGACAGTGAAAAGGACGACGATGTTAATCCCATGGACACTGGTCTTGACCTGGAAGGGGACGAAGCATTGGCTCTGCATATACTATCTAAACGGTAATTTATCTAAATCTAAATAAATATGATGTCTAAGGTTTCCACGGTAGCCTCGTTGCGGTGGTCTATTGGCTAAGGTACTCGGCTGCTGGCCCGCAGGTCATGGGATCGAATCCCGGCTGCGGCATTTTCTACATATTTCCGTTGGAGGCGAAAATGCTGTAGGCTCATGCACTCAGATTTGGGTGCAGGTTAAAGAACCCCATGTGGTTGAAATTTCCGGAGCCCTCTACTTCGGCGTCTCTCATAATCATATGGTGGTTTTGGGACGTTAAACCTCGCATATCAATCAATCAAGGTTTCCACAGTAGCTTGTCTATCAAACAAAGTCGGCATCGCTGAACACGACCTTTCTAACTTGCGCTAAAAGACAACACATTCCCTGATGCAGAATTGCGCATGAAAGAATACAAATTTGATAGTGTTTTTTTTTGCAGGAAATTATCGAAGTTATAGAATATTAATATCTATATGTATAGCAAAACACTCTTACATTGACATCGTTAGTGAAACTGAATGTTGATGAGTGTGCTCAACCACGCGCACATGATTTTTAAGCACCTGAGAAGAAGCTAGCTTTTTCATTATGAAAGGTTATGTATTGCTGTCTTTGCGCTAGAGCTAGCATGCAGCTTTTATCGATTTACTGTATACTTATACAACAGAATGGCAGCAAGTTTCAAAGTTGACGCTCTAGCTACTTATTCTCCGCTGTTACGCCCTTTGGTATGTGATGCCGCTCAAAGCTATGAACATGTTTTGATGTCTGCCTGCCGGATACTGCCACAGCATTTAAGGTCTGTGACGTAGAATGCTTTTCTACTGCTAGCTAGATTTAACATGATCAAGCTAAAACATTGGGCTCATAGCAACTTTTTTACATGCAATTTTTCGTTACATTTTCTTGCATGACGTTATGTCCCTGCAGTTGCACCATACTGCAACCTATGTTGCTTGCTGCTCTTTTTCAAATGTTTGCTTGCATTTGGTTGCCTACTGCGAGAGTGTTACCAGTGCAGCAATATCTTTCCCACTGCCATCTGAACTTACCGTCGGAGACGTTGGCAAGTAATTCATCATAGTTCTTTAGTCAATTCATTTGCATTGTCAATGCCCTCTGATATTTTAGAGACCATAGAACATTGACCCACGATGGTCTGAAATTACATTGTGCAGCTATGTCGCTGATAATCCACCCAGTGTCTGACATCATTTAGTTCTTTTTACAAGAAATGCCAAATTGACACCGATCAATCTGAAAAACATTTTTGCCCAGCATTGGAGCTTGTTCGTAATCATCAGTCCTCCCCCCTCCCCCTCCCCTTCCTTTTCTGACCTCACATGAATGATTATCAGAATCGCTCCCACACATATATATGAGTGGCTTCACATGCTGGAGGAGGTGGAATAAGATGCGCGATTGTGGTTTGCAGTATTACTTTAGATGTTGCCGAATGCTGGGTATTGGTTACCATAATACAAATCAAGAATAGTGAAATGGGGTGCCTTATCAATGAGGCTCTGACCGTTTGCATCTTGTGCTCATGGAGCAGTGTCGAGTCTTTTACAGGAAAGACTTCCTGCAGAAGACCTGACTGAACATCCTTTTTTTTTAATAAGAGAACAATGAACAGGTTTTAGTGTTACAAGGCTTCTTGTGACATTCAGGAGTTGCTCTCCAACGACACTAATTCTGATGCTAGTTTCTTGAATAATCAGAGTTGTTGCAGTTGTCATGTAATTGGAAAAGACCACCGAAGACTACTAGCGCACAAGAACTCTGAGCTTGATCACTGGGCATCAATATTTATATGTTGACATAGCAAATGAAAGGACTCGCACATAACTTGTAAACAAGTTTATAAGATAATCTTGGAGCAGTTACTGTGTTAGTTTAAAGAGACAATAACTGAAGTGTCCGAACTCTAAAGTGGGCTTTGTTGATGTCCATGTGCGTTGAGGTGCAGGAGTGCCTTGCTGCCACTGGTGAAGCTTTTGTAGCTTGTTGTAGTAACTTCACGGCTGGACTTGTGAAGTGGTTAACAAATGTTCATTAACCCACTTTAGCTGTGACAAGGAGCATTTTTTTTTGTTGGCCCTTTTGAGGCAACCACTCGATTTATTTTTCATCAAGGGAAGGAAGACTCTTGGAATTGACACTTGGAAAAAGAAAAAAAGATGAGAAATCACAGAACGTCTTTCAAGAGTGCCCTTCTACTAGTTTTTGCTCTTCTCTGCATAGCAGGCGCACCACGCCTGGTCTCCATCGGCACCGCGCTTGATCTTTGCCTCCCAGCCCTGCTTTAGGTAGGCGAAGTCATCGGCTGTGAATTCCTGGGGGAATAACCAATTTGAACAAGTCATTTGACATGCACATGTGCGTAAAAGGCTTGCATCCTGAGATGAACTTCTGAGCAATAACATTCAAAGAGCATCTCGCCATAATTCATATTGCTCCTGAAGACAACTCTAGAGCTACTAAAGGATTCTGTGGCAAGACATCATGTGGTTCTTGATGCTGCAGTTGCCTGTTTTAGGTACAATGTTTGTGAAACATGATTTTTCTTCCTTGCAAAATACAACTAGTTTTAAAAACATTGTTTCTTGAGCTCTTATTTTCTATGCAAAAGAATGTCTAATAAGAAAGTAAAGTGTAGCCTTCCGCTAACTCTGCAATGACATCTCTTCTGATTTTGTGAACAGTATAGTATATAGGGCATCAGAGAGCGAACAAATATATTATGAGTATGGTTCACCTAACGTCATTGTTTATTAGTTAACTGCAAAAGCAAGAAAACAAGTCGACCAGTTAATGTAATGAAAAGCCGCACAGCAGCCTAGACCATGAGGGATTTAAACCAAGAGCATCGCACCTTTCAGGTGCCTTACTCCTGCATGACACTTGCCCCTTAAAGGGGTCGTGAAAAGGTTGTTTCCTAAAAATGACAATGCCGAACTGCCGGCATACACAGCAGTAGACTAGGCGATGTCAGCGTAAGTAGAGTAAGTAGAGGGATGCAGAGCTCCATGGTACTTGCGAGTGTGTGCAACTGGGACACCCATCAGTGTCTTTACCATATCCAATCCGCGCTAACTTGAACTCTGCAGCTGACATCATATTAAGCAGCGTTCTGGTGGGATGTAGATTGCGTATGGCAGAGATGCTGACGAGCGTCTCATGCGCGCGCTTGCAGATGTCGTGGAATTCCTCGATAGACAAAGCGTCTATGCAGGTCTGCACGGGCTTATGTCGTGGTTAGCGCGTGTGGCAGCCGACGGTGCCGCATTGTAGTTACAAAGTGGCCTTTTCACGACCCTTTTAAAAAACGATAGTGGGATTTAGAAGGTACAGAAGGTGTACCTCAAGACATTTTGGCATCCACGAGTGCAGTCACAAGTGACTGCTCCTTAGCTCTTGATTTTGTTGATTTGCATATCTCAAAAACGAGTTAAAAAAAAAAATGAATCACTGTGCTGTCATCACATTAAGTGAGTGATTGAATTTGCCTTAAAATAAGTACTGCAATGATGTTTCGGACTTCATTTTTATGCAGCACATGAATTGGGGTATTGCATCTCTGTGCCCAAAATGTATGCTTGCAAAATGAAACCATGATTTCTCGTTTTTATGTCCGTTACTCTCCAAGAGAGTAGAAGGACAAATAATGTAGCTGGAGATATTCTATACCTCAGCCACCATACTTTTTACTCTGAAGCATGTTTACATTATCTTCATCGGCTTCATCATCTGATCATGGCAGTTCGACAAACGAGAGTCGCAATAATTTGCATCCTCACGTGTAAACAGAATCGCTGAAAAACGAAGCCTGCTTACCTTGAGAAAGTCATCCTTGCTGTTTTCTAGCCTTTCCAACTCTTTTCTGAGGGTCTTTACGGTGTCTCCGCTTATGTCCTCAGCCTGGACGTTCACGAATCCCTGCCTTTTTGAGGAGCTGCGCATAACATTCAATTTGGTCACAACTGTTAAGTGCCTGAAGGTTGCTAGTATTATGTGCTTCTACAATATACTTATATGTGCTATATGCGGAAAAAAAAAGCAAGCCCTAGTTTGCACTAGTGGAGCCAAGGATGACGGAACAGCGGAGCCAGACTGCCAAACTCCCTTGTTCCTCTTTTTTATCCTTCTCTCTGCTTTTTTTTCTAGTCTTCTTTGGCCCTGTTTCCTTACAGTATTTCTTTCTTTCTCTTTTGTTTAGGCTGTTCATACATTTTTATTCCTTTTCTTGCTCTATTTGCTTCTTTATTTGTTTCTCTATCTCTCTCTGTCTTGACCTCGGATTTTTATTTCTTATTTCCTATCTCTTAGTTACTCTGTCCTTCATTTTTTCCTGTCTTCCCATTTTTTCTCGCCATGCCCATTTCTCTGTACTCGTTCACTTCGCCCAATTTATGGCATCCTTGGCCAAGTGGAGAAAAATCCTCACAAGGTGCAACTTCCACTCTCGACTCGCGGCCATCCGGCAGGCCTGCGGGATGGCGTATAGGCTGATCCTGTCCGCCCCGACATGGGACTAAGCCGGGTTCGCTACTTCTTCGCGTTCAGATGGAGGTGATGAAAGTTGTTTTCATTCATTCATTCGCCAGAAGAATCGGCACAGCGGGAGAACGTGCGCTGAGTGAACGTGTTAGGAAATGAAGCAGTGGATGAAGATTACGGCAAGTGTGCGCTGGAATGATCATGATGATCGTTTTTGTTGCATAAGCTACAGTGGCCTAGATTGAGTAGTTTTGCGTGACTTATCGAGAGCCGTGCTGGGTATGCGCAAGGAGCAACGACGTCACGCGGCGCACAGTTGATGGGCCGAAGAAGACCTGGGTGCTCCTGGAGTGAGGTGTCAGTAGAGGTGTCAGTAATAGGATGGTGAGTCAATCGTGTGAACTCGTTCGTTACTCTGTCCGCAGCTCACCCTACGAATATCCTGACGTAGCTGAGCTGAGCCACTGCCAAGTTTTTACGAATGCTATTCCATGTTTGTGAACCGGGGCAGGCGTCATGGACACGCTGAGGCGCGCATAGCAACGTCGCC